ATCCGAAAAATGGCCAGTTTAAGGGTAAAGTACATCGTTTAAAGCATGTGAATTTAGGATTGTGATAAATAAAATACAATAAAATTGTGCATGTTGTTATGACTCATAAAGAATGTTAACTTGAATCTGAGTTTATGTTCAGTGAGATTTTAAGATCTATGATCAGAATAAATATGGGTCAAGTATGACCTTTGAGTAAAAACAGTTATTATTTAGTAAAAAAGGGACGCATTAGATACATTTTTATTCGACGCACAATTACATTGGTTAAATTGTTTTTCGTTAACTTGTTCAATAATAGAATAATCTATACGATAAAATTGTTCAGGTCACAGAGAGATATACATCAAAGTTTAAATAAACAGATTTCCCTACCCCTCCTCCGATCGACTAATAACTTAAAATGTTAATATCTAATATTACCTCTTCCCATCAGATATTATACCCATCTGACTCGAACAAATTTATTCCTTGAATAAAATTTTATAAAAAGTTGAATCAAACCACCGAAAAAAGTATCCAATACCATGTTAGTTCAATTAGTTTTTTTTCTTTTCTCGTTCTAAATGATGCTAATTTTTGTTGAAAATAACCACCCATTTTAATTTTGTTAATTGTATATTTTCAAATAATAAAACAAAACGAAAGAAATGTATAACATTGAATGCATGTAATTCAAGTGATAAAGATTTTCTTTCAAAAAAATGAATACTGGAATAAAAGTTTGAAAAATAGTTTCTACTCTTTACAAATTTAAATAAACAAATACTTCAAATGTTATTTTCTTATTATTTATTACAAATTAATCATAATCAATAATTCATTTGATATTGTTTTACTTGAATCTTCCCATTGATGTTTAGGACTGAAATTGATCAGTCTCTTATTGGCATATGTGCATGATCAGCGAAGATGGATAGTGGCTGATAGTGGAATCCAGGACAATATCGAGGCAATACGCACAGTATGCACATATGCCAATAAGAGACTGACCAATTGTAGTCCTAAACATCAATGGGAAGATTCAAGTAAAACAATACCAAGTGAATTAAACTTCACCCAATTGCACAAGCAAGTAGCTATCAGGACTCAGTAGCTAAGTGGATAACGTAATGATGTTTGGAGCGAACGGTATTGGGTTCGAGTCCCAAAGTGAACATTAACTCTAAGATGCAGGTACATCCAACTGACGAGTCCTAAATAGGACGAAATGCGCGCCCTGGATTCCACTACTAGCCACTATCCGTCTTTGCTTATAATCAATAATGCCTAGAAGGTATAATTATTTGAATATTCATTTTATGATTATATTTTTATCATTTTTACTGATCAATTGTGACACAAAATCTATTAAATCTCATTAGCCTGTAAAAAAAAATTAAAGTAAATTTTCTACTTGCATGCAATTTTCATCACGAATCAATTATTTGTTAAAATGTGTTGGTACTATATTCTGTCAAGATAGTTTTTCATCATAAATTAACATCCATTAGAGTTGTTGTAAGATCAAAGATCTAAAAATAAAGAGAACTGAACAAATGTTTTATTTTATTCCAGAATTTTTTTTATCTATGCCCGACAATATCAACTTGAAAGGAGGTTGAAGGACAATGAGATCCTACTACAAGCATATTACTATTCAAACTTCAGTGATTCACAATCCAATAGTTCATATCCGTAATTCTTCAAATGTAAGGAACTCAGATATATTATAGCATTTCATTTGATCATATGTGGCTAAGATTTTCGAAGCTGTTTAAAAATTCTCGTCGTATTCAAACAAATATTATGAACAAAGAATATTCTTTATAATAACTCACTAGGCTATATATACGAGACCTGAAAATCACAGAAGCTTAATTAAGGACTGGGGTAATTATTAAAGCTTCTCTTCAAAACATCAATTCAGATTTGTAACTGAAGAACCTGATAAGAACTTACTGTAAAGAATATGCTTCATTCGTATATCTGTATTACTAATTGAGATTAGAAATTATCAGATGTAGTTTAACAAATCCCTACGTTATTTTAATTGTTTAACATTTGATTGATTCGATTAGAGCCACTTAAATTTTTCAGAAGATAATTAGTGATGAACGCTTAGAATTTATAAGACATCAGCGAAATTTGAAAGCTCCATAGACTGGATAGAAGATAACTTTCGACATATATCAAGATATTTCCTTTTCATTAACATTACTTACATTGCTAAGAACATGTAATAAGTAGTCATGAGACTCATGAAGATCTTGAACTGAAATTGAATAAATCTATACAAACTAGGCAAATTCATTTTATACACTAACCTATACAACCATAAAATTTTAGTTATCTATGACACAAAATAAAAATCAAACATAAAATGTTTATATACAAATGTTTGAAGTTCAGTTAGTGGGCCTCTGAGACTCATATTGTGGTGTACGCTTCTTATGTGGACAGATATAAGTGGTATGCATTAGGAATAGGAAGTGGAACGCTTACTGGCAGAAGATTGAAATGAAGAGAACGAGGAGTGATCGGAATAACAACAGAACGAAATGAATGAAAGAGTATGTTAAAGATAACTCAAGGAAGGTATGAAAATGATGTATTTAATGTATGGTTTTCATATTTTACGAAGGCACTGTGCAACTTTGCATAAAAGAATAGATTGGTTTGCTGTACCTCACTACAATATTACTTTTGATATTAACCATTAAGTTCGAAAAAAGGACTAAAGTACGGAAAATTCGTAAGTTCTCATCACAAAGCCAATCGCATTATTTATAACACCAACCTTATATAAAGAAAACGTGTTGGTAGTTAGATTAGACAAATAACTAACCTAGTTCCATAACTCCCTGTTCACTATCAGTACAACTGAATCTTAACAACTAGGGCTTATCAAGACCGTAAATTCTCTTCATTTTTGATCACCAATACTGTGTACATTCAGTCAATAGATAACTAACAAATTAAAATGCTCATATATATAAACTATAAATTATTGATTAATCTAATTAAAAACATGGAAAAAAGTACACAAGCTTATGAAAAAAAGACTAATCCTCTCACAGCTTAAAATAATGGTAATTAAAAAAAATACAACAACCTTATGAGACTGTTACTGTGTTTGACCGTCTTTTTTGGATCTTACATTATATCCCATAAATAAATGTAGTCACAGATATCTATAGATTATTTTCCATGTGTGTATATGTTTAAGTGATTCCAGCCACGCAAAGCAGTTAAAAACGAAGCTAAATAAAAGTAAAGAAAATAAGTGGAGTGTAGGAAAGACGAAAAATTTTTTCTTAGAAGAAAATGAAGACATGTTGTGTTTTACATTCATATTGCTTTTGTCTGAATTTTTTAGGCACAAATGATTACGCACGCATGTATACATACTTTCGGAAAGAGAGAACAATGAAAAGATTTGCGAATCGAATAAAAAGAATAGAAAACTGTCAAATGACTGCATTGTTCCGTTTAATAATTACTCCCTCTCTTTCTCAGGCACACAAATGCGGTCATATCAGTTGGGTATCATAGTTCAGATTTGTAACAGAAATCGTTTCAGTTTATCACTTATTATACCAAGACTCATAACAAAGTAGTTAACAAATGTAAAATTAATAACAATAGTAATGTATGTGACAATAATAGCAGTAATAATAATCATTGAACAATCGTAGAAACTGTATAAAAACTTCTGATAAAAATAGGATCACTGAATCCTTTCGGAACAAGCATATACTCTGTGTGTATTTGTCAATATTTCTTTTCTGGGCATTTAATATAAAAAACTAGTCAAAAAAAAGAAAGAACTCGTGGTTGATGATAGTTAGCGGTGAGCAGCAACCAACCTCTGATAATGTTACACTGAACAGTTGGTTATTAAATAAGCAACAATAAGCCTTGTTAATCGAACAAAAACAAAAAAGATTGACTAGATAAATTAAAAATAGGAAAGCAAATAAATAAAATAATAGATCTTTATCGTATTATTTTTGTGTTTAGAGAAGTTTATCTGTGCTGTTTGTTTTTGTTTCAGAAATCTGAAAAGTTTATTGCGATTTCCACAATCATATTATACAGTCTCGGGTCCCAAAATTTATGCGGAATTGAACATTTCTACTGTGTAACTTCATTATACTGTCAAATTTTTTAATATTTTTCTTCATCCCATGTATATTTATCCTAGCTTCCATTTGAATGGATGATTAATGGAAATTTATGTAAGAAATAGGCTATTGATTTTTTTTTAATTTTTCTATCAGATACTAATTGAAGCAAATAGTAAAAGCAAAACATCGATTTTAAATTATGAATCAATATATGACATTTTCAGATAGATGTTCCGTATATTTCACACAAAAAAACGAACACTAGTCTACGAAACGGCCGTAGCAGGGAATCATTAGCTAGAATTTTTCGGTTAATGCATGTCATATACATTCCAAGAGTGTAAACAGACACACTTGAGCGTGCGTCAGATTAGATGTCAGTTTTAAGGTCAAATCCGTAGTTTTATTATTGATCAATAAGTATAGTATGTATTATAATCTATATGTGTGTCTGTAGTTCTACAATGTGTTTATTCGTATTTAAGGAAATGAAGTTGGACAGAATTGGGAAAGTTTTGGTTTTTTTTGTGAAAATAAATCATTGAAATATAACAAAACTAACAGTGAAAAATAGATAAAAATAAAGCATTATGTTGTTTATGTCTTCATTAGGAAAGGGTAACACAAAAAACAATGATGGACTCTAAGTTTTCAGTTATATGATGGTATTTTATAAGTGGTAATGACAATTAGCAATAGTTATACTAATTTGCATGTATAAATGTATAGAAAATAACCAAGAACTTGAGCATGAGAGAAAAGAACGATAATGTTGGTGAGAAAATCAAGAAAACCACAAAATAAGAATAGAGCGATGGAAAAAATATGGAAGTTTTACAACTAGGAACAAATCAAAAAGTCTTCCTGAATTTCCTAGAAAGACTAAACAATTTATGTTGCAACCATACTGGGCATATTATCTGTGACTGAACCAGCTATCGATGTTCCTGTATGAATTAAATTAGATTCATTATATTTTGTAATTGGTTCTACTTCTTTGTATGCTAAATGACCATTATTACAATTAATACTATTATCGGTATGAATATCTTTACCATTCTGATCATTCTCTTTGTTCGTTAAGGTCAAATGACTTTTACTATTTTTAAACCCTTCTATTTCATCATCATCTGAATGTAAATAATTGAACACGTTTTCACGATAATTTGAATCGGTTAGACTGTCCTCTTCTAAGAGCAAATTTACCATCTGTGTAGAAAGTAGAACATCATCTAGTAAACAATCATTATTAATGTTAGAAACGTTATTAGATGTCGGTGCTTCAATGCTACGGGTTAAATTTTCGTTTGTTTTCATGTTTACTTGTTGTTGCTGGGTCTGATGCTGTTCAACAGGACTGGAAACACAGGTTGATGATAATCCTGTTAAGTTACTTTTGAAATTATTGTCCAAAATTAAATTGTTCGATACATGATTAAATGTGGTTCTATTAGCTGATGAATAATAATTATTATTCCAATTTGTGCAGTCAGCTAAATTGGTAAAATTTGTATTGTCTGATTTCAGGTCTATTTCATCTGTCGTTACCATTGTCATATTGGTAGATTGTAAATGGTTTTCAAATGATGATTGCCAATAACTCGATGCAGTATGACCATCATTATGAACCTAAATAGTATACATGGAAATAAATATATCTATATATTAGGCAGAAAAGTTATTGTTCCCCGTACTAACAATAGAAAGTACCTAAAAGTTTAGATATACTATGCTTATGAACATAAGTATTCATTTTTGCCACATTTTCATGTTACAGTAACAAACTATAAAACTACACTTCATTAATATATCACCCTTGAAACAAATAATTTCATGACTACTTTCAGAAATTATGAATGATTACTCAATCGGATTTGACCATTTAATATCAAACACAATTTAACAATAACCTGCTTAAACTTTTAGGCCATCTGTTTTCTAGTCATGGGAATGAGGCTCTGAATTTTCCTATTTTCATTTATGCACAATGACTCGGCAGTATAATCAAATGCTCTAATAAAATAATCTTTAAACCGAATGAAATAATCACTGCTAAATTCATGCGGGATCATTTCGGTGGTTAATATACTTCCCGTTTTGTGTACTCGGAAAATAAAAGAAGTAATTTAATTGGAATTCGTACATTAAATGTATTATGAGGTGATAAGAGATGTTATAGGAGCCAAACTGGTTTAAGAGCATTTTCATATAAAGATGAATCGAAGTGATTAGTTGTTGACTGAGTTTGATCAAATACATATTTTCGAATATCAATAAGTTGAAGTGATCTTATACGGTAATTTGTTGTAATATTTTGTACTATGTGGTGAGAATTTTATATTGTAATCAAATTTATGGTATTGAATAGAGCGAACATTATTATTGTTGCAAAAACGTTTAACATTAAGTAGGAACTATAACGGGGCAGATTGGAATGAATATAGCATTCAACTCTCTTTGAACCTAGCACCTAACAGTAGCTTCATGCACTGTTCCATCGCCCTTGGCAGATCAGGTAACCCGAAGGTCACGAGAACACCATCAGAGCATATGACAGGCTAACTTTAGAAGGCAACCCATAGTCTAAATACATAAATGTATATGCAAACCCGTTCGTCAAAACGGCTTTCATCGAAAACCTGACATTCTTCCAAGGGACATTGTATCCTACTATTGGATTTCCTATATATGTTCAGGTACACTAGCGTACAAGGGATGAAAACTGAAATAGTCTAGTCATGAAAAAAAAATACAATACAATTAAGTTGATAAATGAAAATACAATAGCCTATTTCCCAACGTTAGTCATATTTGTGATACAGTGCAATTTTCACTCAAAGTCATTGATAAATTACTTACTGTCTTACTTCCCAGTTAGTTAATTTTATAGGCTACAGTCTTCTATTGATAACCAGAAGGTTATTTGTTCTTAGAGCTATTAGGGGGACCATGTTATATACATTTATTTCGTTATTCTGAATAATCACAATTTTAAATGGCCTTTCTGTAGTTGTTACGAATTTATAGAGCGAAATCAAATCAAATCTAAACTTACAATGAACAGTATTCTTAACTTGTTATAAACTGTCAACGGAATACGATTAGAATACGCATCACGTTTGGTTGTATTCTTACGTCGATATCAATCTAGTGACGAAGATTTTATAAACGGAATAGTGTGCAATTTGTTTTTGTTTTATATTCTTTCGTTTTAGTTTGAAGTCTGAATCATTGGATATGTTGGTGGCGACTTCCCAGAACAAGCCTTGGTGAATCCATGAGGGATCCAACATTTTGGAGTTCTAAAACTAGGCTAAACATCTGTGAAGTACTGACTAGTGTCCACTTCCCCCCAGCCGACATTAGTCACTTGTAAAAAAGCTTTTCTTCTCACTAATATAAACACTATAATCCATCTAACTGAGTTTAGTTTACATTGAAATAAATTTCTTGAAAAATTTCTTTTCACTTCAAAAGTACAGAGTATCGTTTAAATGATTTGGCTCTGGGAAACGAAACAACTTCGTACTAGGCAAACATTGAGGTTTCATGCTGGGAGAAAAGACATTGAAACAAACCAAAATCTAAATATACTCAAGGTCACAGTAGTTATTGAGAAAACATTTTCTTCGTTTGTTGTCAATACTAGAAATCAATATACTATGTCAATCGACTAATAACTATTGAATGGAATTCCGAAAAGAAAGCAGTAAAACTCATATTGTTTTGGAAATTTTGGTACTTTTAATCATGGATTACCGATAAATGAAGTATTATGACAAACAAAGAAATATTTTACATATGTTATTGTTTTTATTTACAATTCTTATAGAAGAATAAACTTGGTAGTAAACCAATTATTCATTAACCATAGTGGATAATAATAATAATAATAATAATAATAATAATAATAATAATAATAATAATAATAATAATAATGGGATTATGAACTTAGCTCGTTGCGTTCAATTGTTAAGTCTCGGATCACTACTACGAAGAACCAACTATCCAATCCATTCCAATTTTTTCAAGTTTTTATGCTGATGTCAGTCCATCATGATAAAACTTACCTGTAATTACTTGTAACTATTGTATTCATTACCATTTGAAATCAACTTAATGTCTTTTCCTTAAAATCTCTTCCTATAAATCTAAGAAAGTTTTACGCCCTTATTTTTATATCTGTATATGATTATTTTCTTAAAATGTATGAGAACTTAAGTAAAAGTACAACTGAACTATTTTATATGTTGTGTTCAGTGACTTTGAAAATAACTCTTGAATATATATATATATATATATATATATATATATATATATATCGTTTTATTAGTGAAAATGCATTAAAAACTGTAAAGAACAAAATATCAGCCCTTCTAAATATTTACTGAAGTATAGAATACATGATGGATGGATATTTTTAGTCTTTCTATACATATAGTAGAAGAAACTATTCAAGCACCAATTAAGTATCATTCTTTTATTTAAATAACTAATGGATGGATCACATTTGATTAGTACATATTATTTCATATCGAGTAAAAAATTATTTTGACATGCATATTGAATAATTATTTCTGGCCATTAATATTAATAAAAGAAATCTACCTAAATAATTACTGAATAATGTAGAGTAGCATATAAGTTGATTTTTGGGGATTCATTATTATTTACATGACATGTCTTTGAAGTATGATAGAAATCAGAGATTCGGGAAATATAGTTCTATGATAGTTCGAACAGGAATCTAAGGCATATGCTTCACTCATTTTTAATATTTCACAGCTTAATATAATTGTATTCCCTTAATTATTAGTATTCTTATCCAAAAATGAATTTAAAATACATGGGTAGAAATACTAGTTCTCTTCTATTATAGAGTATTTCCTATTTTAGTTTTTTATCTGCTTTTGATCTTTTTTTTTTAAACTTAATTGATTACATTGTTTCCCGTGTATGAACTCTTTGTAGACATGGCTCAGTGTTATTTAAAGCGGTCAATTCAAGTTACTGTTAAAAAAATTTAGTTAAGCTTTACAAAGGGTATATGGTTATTTCCAAAATGATTCTTAACTGGAAATGTCAGCCAGATATTAGTGTTACTTGGAAATATTTTCTTTGATATAATCGTTTTTTTCATGAAATAAATGAATTAATCCCATTTGATACTGGTCAGTTATCAATGACGAAGGACTTGGTACAGATGTGCTTCTATTCAATTTTCCACACCATATGTCAGTACAGGGACGGGAGGTTTAACAAAATAGTGGACAAATACGCCGAAATATCAGTATCAATAAGTGTAAAGACTAACTAAGGAGAATATTTTTAAAAAAGAAAGAATAGGATGGCCGAAGATAAAGTAATAAATAATATCATTCAAACGGTAAACAAAGTTAGTGAACGAATACATTTGGATCATTGTGACCAATTTTCAACCATGCATCTCGATATATTCAGCCCCCAAATACCCTCGTACGGCTGAGGGTGGGGAAGTTGGCTCTCCTTCTCGAAATGCTCTCACATGGCCACGCGTATACAACCACTGCCAGGGAAGCCCTACTCACTGCCTTCTCGAACTGGGGGTGTTGTTTACAAAATTGAGAGGACGAAAAGCGAATGTCCGGCGCCTTAACCGAGTCGATGAATATGGAGGATCCACTTAGGAGTGTTGGAAAACCCTCATTCCAAACCATTGGTGCACATGGGCCCCAGGACCCTGAGGGAACAAAAGGTGTATGACCCAATTATTGGCCACCGGCTACATTGGGACTGAATCCCCGGGCGTTGCTCCACTGCCTTGTGGATTAAACTTTTAGGTCGAAGGCTTGAGGTGTGGCCCCCTAAGAAAACCACCTGGTTCTGTCTGGGAACCCGGGAAGTATCACAACTCACACACAAATCAAGTGACTTGTGTGGTGCATATGTATTCGGTGCCCCTTTGTATCAATATTTATGTGTTCAAATAAATAATATTCAACTGTAGATTACGATTATCTTGCGGACTCAACTAAGATAGTCATTACCCTTTTTGGTAAAATGTTGATCAACAGTTAAGGACTTTATGAACTGATAATGGTTTACTTCAGCCTCTCCTATCCTTCTTTCGCAACACACTTCTATACCAGCTAGTATAGTAAGTCGTCGAAGTAAACGACGATTGAATAAGTAAACGATACAAAAAAATACATCATATCAATCAAACTAACCTCATTCAAATGAATCCTCTCCAAAACACTATTTGGACTAGTATCTTCCGAGGAATTTAATAGGTAATTTTCTAAATTCGATATTAAAAAAGTATCGTTATTATTATTGTGATTATTATTACTACGATTATATGTATTTCTTTGGTGAAATGAAGTGGATAGAAATTTCATTTCAGATATTGAATTCCCATTTTCATGTAAATTTATATTAAGATAATCATTGTGATTGGAAATATTCGACTCATTCCTTGTTATATAACCGGTTTGTTTAGTTGTATTTATATCAATATTCATTGGTAAAAAACTTCTAAATGCACTCATGTTTGATGAATTCGATGCATCGAAACGCTGTAGTCAAAACAAAAAAGACCCAATTTAGCATTCACTATATATAATTATTTTTTGAAAGTAATTACAGAATATATGTCGATTTACAGTGATTATCACGTTGATATAACTGCTAAGAATATGCTGTTAGTTTGTATTAATAAAAAAGATATTTAGGTTATTTAACGTAAAGGCATGGTTCTGGAGTTTTTGTAATCTGAACAACAGCTCACTAACATTACTCATGGTAGATAAACAGAATCTATACATAATCAAAGACACTAATATTTTGCTCAGTGATGAGTGAATTGATGGTTCAGTAGCCAATTCACTTGACATTTCCGTCAACATGTTCGAACACTAATTCACCTAATTTGGTTTGTAAACCAGGTATTACCAGTAATCAGCATACAAATAGTTTGGCTTAATGTCGAGTACATAAAACTATACTTCATTTACAGCATTATTAATCAGTGATTACATAAATTTAAGGTGGGGAATATATACTGAATTGTATTTGAAATTATAATCATTAAACAAGTAAATTACACAACGCATCAATAAACAGAAACGTTAATACATGTTTAAAAACAATATCAAGCGTTGTATGCAATCACAACAAGGATACCACTTGTAATCAAGCTCTGTAGAAGTATTTCTCACTGATAAAACTATTTGTTAAGTCTAAAAGACTATTTAGATTTTTTCACAATATAATAATCGTACATTGATTATCATTTAAACTGGCTACGTCGAACGATATCAGTTACGGACATCTTTTTCCAATATCACTTCAACTTTACCACCGACATGATTTTTGAAATAGCGCTTAATTCTTCGAAAACCTCTCAGTGATTACACAGAGGATCTCTAATCGATTTACTGTTAAACAGGGACTCAGATATATTTCAGAATCTTCATAACTTTCAGCTAGGTAGACTAAGACAAGGGAAAAGATACCTAGGTATTGGTTTGGTAATTTTCTGAGTATGTTAAATTCTGAGATTTGAGAGAAATCAGTTTTAAAATTTATATATAGTGAATTCTGTTTATTATCAGTGTGAAATCATAGAGATTGTTGAGTTTTTAATTGAGATCATGAGTCGACCAATGTTAGACCACCATTAAAAGCCTGGAAGGACTGGATGGCCGTTTCGTCATAGCATGAGACTCCTGTACAGTGCACACCCACGACTTCGCACGCGGGACTCGAACCCAGGACCTTCGGTCTCGTTCAATAACGCTTAAGTTTTATATCACTGAGCCGGCATCTAACGGTGTTATTGTCTAGCTTCAACCAATCCACAAAACTGCGCGACCATCTTTGATTGCCTGAAGTAGAAATCTGTCTCTACCTGATCTCAATCGAAAACTTGACAATCGCCACAACTTTATACTGATAACTATCATGTGCTCACTGGTGACCAGCTTCTTGAGGGCGTTCTCGGAGTTTTAGCGAGAAGCCGTGACTAGTGGAGCTAATCCGTGTCGGGTAGAGATAGATATCCTGGGTTCGAGTCCCGCGTGCGAAGTCGTGGGTGTGCACTGTACAGGAGTCCCATGCTAGGACGAAACGGCCATCCAGTCCTTCCAGGCTTTTAATGGTGGTCTAACATTGGTCGACTCATGATCTCAATTAAAAACTCAACAATCTCTACGTTTTCACACTGATAAACGGAACAATTGTTCCGTTGTACTATTTAAACTTGGATTAATTTTAATTTGGTTATTTATTCTCTAAAGAAGTGACTTACACTAAGTCACGAAACGTCAGAAAATCTAATTTTCTACTCATTGAGATATTACAAATATATTATTTATTTAGAATTCACTATAAATCAATATATAAATTTTAAAACTGATTTCTCTCTAAATCTCAGAATTTAACATACTCAGAAAATTACCAAACCAATACCTAGGTATCTTTTCCCTTGTCTTAGTCTACCTAGCTGAAAGTTAATTCCGTTGGTTACTATGATTATGCTATAGCTTTAGACTGCTTCTAGGATGTCTTATAGCTTATCGCTTAAAAGTAATACGAATAGTCAATCACTTGATATGGAGTTCGAAAGTGCACTTTCTTCATTAGAGGAATTGTAGGAATTTACGAACCTATCTCTAGTTTACATAACTTCTAATGGAAGAGTCTATATTGAGATGGTTTACCCTCCATTATTATGTTACAACGACATAAGACATTCTTTTCTGTTAAATCTTGAAAGTATTGATCTATATGATTACGACTTTCATAGCATTTTATCAATTCCATTCTCTTGGTTTCTTTCTTTAAACCTTCTCTTCTTAAGCTAGTACGAATCATAGAAATTTGAATAAATATATGTTTTTTAACGTACTAAGTTTTTGATCTAATTTGACGAATTTTATCTAAAGAATAAATGATTATCTTACTCGTTTGAATTGTATAGAATATGACTCAGTTCACTGTATAAAGCATGAATAAATTTGACTGCTTAAACATATTTATTAGAGAGTTTACTCGAAATATACAATACATCCAGGCATTCTATGCACTTGAATAATTTCATTGTTCATCTGGAGCCTTAACAGCCTTTTCGATACAACCACATAGCGCTATAAGATATATTATTTTGAATATTAACTTCTACTTATTCAGTGTCAGATTTAGCGAACGATTAAAGTTAGTTCAGACATACAGTTATCAATATTATTCATACTTAGATAAAACTCAGAACATCAAGGTTTTAAATTTGTTCTTCATTTGTACATCGGATGTATGACAGTAGCTAATAATATATACAATAGAAACAGTTTTTTCATTCCCGTAAGTTTGATGTTTAAGATGCTTAAATAATTGGGAAATAATTTTGATAACGATGTAAAAGTGTCAATTTTATTTAGTCAAAATTCACAATATAATTTCCGTACTTTTATACCTGAAATTTTATACATTTTCAACAATTTCACTAACAAAAGAAAAATATCTAATAAAACTATTTATTTGTACGACATATTCCTTATGGCTCAGAATCCGTCAAAATGGTGCAGATACATTGTCTTCCCTTAGATCTTGATTTTTAAAATTATCTTACACTATTTTATTCCATGAATTCATTCTTTCCTCTTAGATTATGATGTCTATGCCTAGATGTTTCAACTTTCACTGAAACTGTTACTACTTCTAATATTCTACCATTTGACCTGATAATTTTATCGCTCTGCGCTAATATGATAGAGCACCTCGGACAAAAACACATACACGCCATGTTTTACATTGTTTATGACTGACTATTAACTTTAATAAATAATGACGAAGCTATGCTAAAAAATAAATGATACTGTACAATTGGAATATTCAAAAAGTATCATAGTTACGTAGGTCATCGTATAATTAAATGTCTGACTTATTCAGACTGCTAAACATCACCGATTATTATTTTTTACGACAAATATTTGTCAGAATACTGTATATCAGCCAAGTAGCATATAATCAGATATTAGTCGAGTATTTAAGTATATATGAAATGACAGCTTAGTTGTGAAATTTTTCACCTTTCTATGCGTCAGTTCCAGGTTTGAATCCCATTTAGGTTTACGGAACAGTTCAGCGCAAAGTTTACAAAGCTGTTTATGGCAAATTAGTTACGTAGATTAATTGATACTCAATATGAAGAATCGTAAAACAATATAACTTATTAGGTTTAAGATAGATTAAATAACGGTTAGTAAATATGCATATCACTGAACTATATCGTTTTAGAAGAAAACAGATTTGTTATAACTTCAACTTACTGCTCCCCGATACGCTCAGCTCGTAAACTTACAAACTTCCATAATTTATTGTTTACAATATTGATATAATTACGCAGTAACGTTAGACATATTCCGAGCGTAGTCATGATATCTTAATTAAAAACTATACTATTTGTAAAAAAATAATTAATAAAACAGTGAATGCTGTAACTGTCATTATTATTTACCTGGTTATTTGTTAAAAAGTTGGTCAGAACACTATCGTTTGATAAGAAATTCTCATTAGCTGAAATAGTTTGTTGTACATTTGTTGGGGAAAGAATACGAGTAGGTGTACGTTTTGGATGACTTTTCAACTTAGTTGAGCCAAATTTAGTTTGAGCAAAAGTAGCCGCTGTAAAACTTGGAGTAGATGTAGATTTTTGAACGAATGGATGTGATGAATTAAGAGGTTGTATGTATGTTGGATATGATTTCGGTAATGGATTTGTAAACATTTGATTGAATGGTTGATCAGATTTTGAGCACAGAACATTTGAATTCTCAAAATTTGCAGACAGTGCAATAAATTCTTTACCATGGATTGTTGTTAACTGACCTGATTGAGGAGGATTAGAGGAGGAACGATGAAATGAATGGAATGTATTTGTTTTGGCATTGAAAATAACAGACTGAGTTGTTGATGGTGCTCCTCCAATCGGATCATTACCTGTTATAGATAAAAAAGATTCTTTCGCGTTTTCAGAAACACCCCATGGAAAAGTATTCATTATTTTTGACATTTCTTTCTCATGATACATTTCAGCTTGTAGAGGATTTATAGATTTTAAATCAACTTCATTTGATTCAGTCCTAGATGGTTCTTCTTGATTTATTACAGATGTACTGATTACAGAAGATTCATTGTTCCAGTTTGTATGGTTCAAAACTAAAGAGTTTACTCCATACATTGTATTAGGCTCAAATTTGGTGTCGATTCCTTCATCGGGTTCAACTAACACACTCAAAGCAGCAGCTGTAGACAGTAAATCGCCATGATCATTTTCAAAACATCTAAGTTTTGTTAGAAACTGACCTCGTTTACTCCCATCTAACATATTTGCATTGTTTGTAATCCATCCACCTTGTAAACTGTAAAGAACTTGGTGAGTAATCTGAGATGAATTTGTTAAGTTGGATGATGAGATAGAAGATGCAGAAGAACATCCCGATGATGATAAAGAAATTGATGATGATGGCCAGTGGTTCGAAAGGAATCTGTCATGACCTGTACAGTTAGACTGGGTGTATTGGCACACCACATGTCCTGGATCCACACTTATAATGAGACCCTCTGGAAGACATGTTTCTATTTCACTCCATTCTAACCCACTCACAGCTGCTGCTTCAGGAAGTAGAAGATCTACCTGAGGACCGACAGAATTAATGCACCGATAAGCAGAATCTCTAAGTGGGTCACTAGGGTACCAATGGTGTTGAAATTTGGCTAGAAGATACTTTTCAAGTTCTTCACCGAAACTATCAACTCGACGTCTCGGAAGCTTTGTGTATAAATGTGATAATATATAATTTACTGCGACAGTTATTTCCACAAACATCAGGAAATGGAAATATTGAAGTTTTAAATTCAATTGCTTGTCGAATGTATTCCTTTAGAATAACTTTATTCTAAAATATCTATAGAAGTCATAAAAATGTATTTTTATTTTATGGCAATGTAAAAATGGAAATTTGTGATCAAAGAAAAATCAAGTAAAATTAATGCATCTCGGTACAATATGCCACTTACATGATGAAAAATTTTCTACTCAATTTAAAAAAAAATCACGTATCAAGCATCAAAAACTACACAAATCTAGTTTAACACATCAAACTGATTCGTGGACAGCTGATGTAAAACTATCGATTTATTGAAATATATTTAAACATAGGTTTATGGGAAATAATCAATTTGTTAATAAATACTCACATCTTGTGAAATAGATACATTGCTGATAGTGTTGTAAATTCAAAGTATCAGATTATTTCAACCACAGCTGATAAGATTTACTAGGTAGGAATGTTCGTAACACATACCTACATCATCTCTTAATTGTCTTCCCTAAAATTCTCAGCACGGCATCTGACTGACCAGAGTGAAGATTATCCCTGTCTACATATAAGCTCTCATTGGTTTAAACTAATGTGCATTCTAGCCTACTTCTCAAGGTCAACAGTCGTGCCCAAGCAAGATGTGTCTTTTCACGTGTTGTATCCACTACCATGACATCTCGATTCTCTCACCCCCATAGTATATGTGGGAAGGTATAAATTAAAACTAACCAATTTCTGACAGGCAATAAACAGATCTTTCCGAGAATAAACATGACGTCACTAATGTACACTGACAGCTACAAGTTGGTCGACCTTATTTTTAATCCTGTTTCTATAACTCTCGGAGATACAAGAAGTTTATTTTTTGAGACACTAAATTACAAATGAATTTTTATCACAGAAGATTGTCAGTATTTGTGTGGAAAAGGTCGTGATTTTTTCCTGATTCCTGGGTATGTATTACGAATATCAACATTTTAATTTGAATATTAGAATAAAAAGTAACCAATTGAACAGTTATAATGTTCATTAATTGTTCAAACCCAGATACCACAGGTATTTTATTAAACAACACGCTGTTAAACATGGTCAAAGAGACCAAAATCAGAGTATCTGACTCAGTGCAAGACAATTCTATTATATTTTAGTTACTTAAAAAAGTTCTGAACTTTCTGCGGCGACGTAAAACTAAAAAATAGCCACACCGAATAAATACCATCTGGACAGAAATATTTTTTTCGTTCTGCTAAGATCATGTGCAGTTATAATGAACTGATTATTTATTCGGATGTAAGCCATGGTGGTGTCCTATTCATGTGTTAGAAAGTAAGTTGTAGGGTACAAATTGCTGTACTAACTAAAAACATCTCAAGAATATACTCGTTAATAAACAACAAAAATCACTTTGTAGATTTTAGCTTTTAATAGAAGAGTTTGATTCTTGAAATTTTATTAAAAAGGAGGTTCGGTAAATCTCTAAAAATAAAAGACTATACTATTGTAAATGTACTAGAAAGTTAAGTTCTTATTAGTAACTGTAAAGCTCTGCCTGAAGCTATTTTAGGGTTAATGCCGATCCCAAGTCCGAGGAAAGAAGGAGGGTTAGATATGGTGTGAGCAACCCCATCCCATAGGAAACGACTTTGACAAAGAAACACCGACCAGAAAGTACTTTAAACCATTTAGACTCTCTTCCGAAAGTTGAAGAATTTTCTTTTAGAAGAATTATGACACATCGTGAAGAAAACGAAGATACTTCGGAAGCTACAAGACTGACACCCCTTCTAACAACCAGAACAACAATAATCATAGGTACACTGAATGTCCGGACAATGTGGGGGACCAGAAGGACCAACTAAGGCCTAACAATGACAGAGGAATAAGTTGTAAGAGTAGCAAATATCAAACAACCATATGATACAACGAAGAAACTAGCAAGTATGTATTGTATACCAGACCAATCAGTCAGACACGAAGAAGTCAAGTCAATCATTGAGATTCAGGAATAGTGGAATGTGTGGGCAGGACACTTGGAAGAATCCTTGAACAGACCAGTCTCACTGAGCCTACGGGACATCAAAGTAGCACACACAGACCTCTCTGAAGATGTCAATCCACCAACGACTGGAAAAATCAGGATGACCACCAGACAAATCAAGAATGGAGGAGCAGCAGGACCTGACAATATGCAAGTCGAAGCACTGAAGTCACACATGGAAGCAAACGTGTCGCACGTTCTATTCAGGGAAGAATTATGAGGAAGGACAAGTGATACTGACAAATTGGAAGGAAGGATACCTCATCAAGATATGAAAGAAAGGAGATTTGAGCAAATGTGAAAACTACAAAAGCATCACACTATTATCGGTAGAAGGAGACGTTTTCAACAGAGTGTTATTGAGCCGGCTGAAAGATTCAGTAGACACCCAGCTTCGACCGGATTCCGCAAGGACCGGTCGTGCACAGACCAAATCGCGACACGATGGATCATCGTTGAACAACCAATTGAGTGGAATTCATCACTATACTTCAACTTCCTCGACTATGAGAAGGCGTTTGACAGAGTGCACAGGAGAACCTTACGGAACCTTCTAGGCACTGTGATGTGAGTAGCTGAGGAAATCGTCAACATCATACGGAATCCATGCTACGGACAACACTGCAGAGTCGTGCACAGAGGACAGCTGACAGACTCATTCAAAGTGAGAACTGGAGTCAGACAGAGCTGCTTACTACCACTCTTTCTTCTAGTGGTTGATTGGATTATGAAGACCGACATCTGAGGGGAATCACGGAATATAATGGACAGGTTGGATGCAACTAAACGATCTGGTCGTCGCAGACAACCTACCACTTTTATCCCACACGCACAAACAAATGCAGCTGAAGACAAACAGTGTAGCAGCAGCCTTTGAAGCAGTAGACCTCAACATTTACAAGCGAAAAAGTATGATCCTCAAATGTAACACAGAGAACACACACCCAATCACGTTTGATGGAGAAACTCTGAATGTGATGGGAAGTTTCACATCTGAAGGGAAGCACGGAATACAATCGACAACTAGACGATTTGACCTTCTCAGATTATCTAGCACTTCTGTACCATTCACACGAACAAATAATGGTCAAGACTTTGCTTTGCTTATTCACCAATCACAATGTTATGTTTGTTGTGAATTATTGTTCGCTTTATTGACACATTCTTCCCATTCTGTAATAACTATTTGATATATAATTTAAGTCTCTTTTATCCTTGTTTAATAGACTGTATTAATTGATTATTTTGAATACTAACTGTGCTAACTTACGTTTTAGTAACACATAAAGTTTATCGATCTTAGTATCTTAATCGTTCTGACTTTGGCTAAGCTAAAACTCTGTGCTCGACAGTCTAGAAAATAGTTTAGGATTACACCTGCAATAAATTACTTCCTACAAACTTTCGAACAGTAAATTTGATATGCCCACTGAAATGACTTCCAATATGTACCATAATTCTGTAGTGACCTACTTTTATCAAGAAAACGCGATTGCTTGAATGGAAACAATCATTATTATAACCAATTGTACCAGTGATTGTTTTACTGTGCTTGTTTGTTTGACTGTACTAAAGGCAGCCATTACTTCTCCATACTTCTTCCGTTGACTGTGACCTTGTACGCACATACCCTCGCCCAGTGATTCCACTTGTATATCCTTTGGCATGATCTTAGTATACTTTCGATACCACGAGATCGCTAACGAATAAATCTGATTACAACCTTCTTTCGCCTTCTGATTTTCTCGTACACTCTCCTTGTGGTGATGTTCATAGCCAACCGCGACTCGACGTCACGCTACAATTCTGATGAGATTCCGGGGTTGTCACCCCATCACCCGGCAGATTATGATCAAGACCAGTTTGATAATGATGAACCCGTAACCAATAACCTGATACAACTAGAGTTAGCTAGGTTACGTGTAACCCATTAGGAGAAAGAAATAGAAATAGAAATTTACGTCGCCAGGGAAAGAAATATTTCGGCCAATCATTGGGCAAGAGCTAGAATGCAATATTAATAAATCTGTAACCGGTGTCCAGGCATATGTAACACGTGGCCCAAAAATCTCAGTCGATGAAGATTCACAACCTCATCAACCGACTTACCATCACTCTACAATACGCTAAGTCTAACCTTACTATTACTTACCTGGTGATCCTAGCATATGCGAGCAATATTTCTAAGACATCTGTGGTCAAATACTAGAAAATTACTGGTATCCTCTACCCTTAATGACCACGTTTCGCAGCCGTAAAGTAGAACAAAACGAACTGCTGCACAGTATACTGGTCCCTTAATTGATAGACGGATATCTCACCTTCGCCATAGGTCACGTAAGCTGGCAAAAGCCAAACGAGCTTTTCGAATCCGTGCACAGATTTTGTCAGACACCAACCAATTAGGGCTGATCAGACTTCCAGAATAAGTGAAGTTGTCGACGCGTTCGACTACTTTACTCCCTATTCTTAGTTCAGGTGTTGAGACAAGCCATTCCTGATACAATAATTTGCATTTAGAGGGAGAGAAACGCATCCCGAGCATCCTGGAATTGTCGCTCAGTGCTACCAAGAGACTGCATTTTATCAGAGTCTTCACCAAGCAGGACTATGTCATCTGCGTATTTTAAGTCGATAAGTGGACCTCCTGGCAGGAGATCAATGCCCGAAAATTCAGTCCACGAGAATGTTATTTCCAGTAATAGGTCTTTGATAAAGTTATGTTAGTCAAACTAATCCCTCTATGGTTATCACAGTATGGTTTTGACCCTTTTTTATATATTGGGTTGCTCAGTGATTGAGACTAGTAACATGGGATTACATTCAGTTCCTAGATTTTAGCTAAAATATTGATCAACCTAATTGCCAAAACTAAACGACCATCGTTAAAGACATCTGGAGCCAATCCATCTGGACCAGCTGCTCTTCCTTGTTTCAGATTAGCTATAGCTTTTGAACTTTAATTAC